GAACAGCGCCGCCAAGGGAACAAGCAGAACAAGCAGGAAAATGCGCAGGCCCTCAAGCAACGTGCCGCGCAGTGATGGGGTCACATGATATAACGGTTGCACCCACAACCTAGACAACATCACCGGCGACTGCAGAAGACAGCCCGGGCCTCCTATCTCGCCTTCAATCGGCACATAAGCACACGGGGAGGTTTTTTTTTTGCCGGATGGGGGGGCAGATGGAGCATGGTCTGCCTACAGTTAGCACAGGAACCTCCACTTGGCCTTAGTAGGTTGCGTGTAAGCACATGCAAACGCCCTATATGTGCATTCAGAGGTAAAACTTCTTTTCGTGCACTCGTGAGGCTGGCTCGTTTTACCTGCCGCAGCCTGATGCGCTGCAACCCCACTTCAGGCTGCGTCGTCCCCGCAACACCCTTTCCCTGATCTCGACGTCCAGGAAGGCTGAGGAGAGGGGAAGGGGGCCAGTTGCTTCTGGGGAATTCTTGGTTTAAGTGTTCACCTACATTGCAGTTCGCTTCTGTCCTCGATTAAGGCCAGAGGAAAAGCGTTGTACCCCGCTACATCTGCCTACTGTGACGTGGTCTGGCTAGCACGCCTGCAACGCAAAAAGTGACTGAATCGGGCACTGAGCAGATGCCAAGTCCCTCAGTTGGTGAGTACGCTGCAGTATGACAGTAGGCAACCATGTTGCATGCGATGCCTGCTGCCCGATTGCTCCAGTGGCACACTAGACGAGCAACAAGAGTCACGTAAGCTAGCACAAGACACGGTAAATACACTGCAATGTTTTAGCCTGAAACTGCTCATATGTCATAAATCCCCGCCAAATCCTTAACTGGCGGTCACGATGGCTGCGGGGCGACGACGGTAAGTCTACTGTAGCTCCAGGACTAGAGGAAGAAGTTATAAAGACGCAGGTAGTGAATAAGCTTTTTTCCTGTGGAAGTTCCTATGTATGAATTAGCTGGAAGTTCTCTAAGAATCATGTAGCAGCAGCAGCAGCCAAGAGGCTGCTGCTGCAGCAGCAGCGGCACCGCATGGGCTGCTGCAGCAGGAACATCATCATCTGGTGCTGCGTGCAGCAGTCCATCTGCCCCAGGACCTTTGCATGTTCATTGCTTCCATTCTTTCTCCTTAGCTTGGGGGTTGTGGCAGCATCAGCAGCACCAGCAGTAGTGGAGCAGCAATAGGAGCAGCGGCAGCAGCAACAGCAGCAGTAGCTTCCGCATAGGTCGCGGGAGTGAGCTCTCCTGAGGAGGGGTTTTGAATTTAAACGAAGTGTCTATATACTTGAACGGACGGACGCGCGCCCTCAGCGGCGTATTCTTGTTTTTGGCGTCGTTGCCCCCTGTGGCGGGAGCAGGAGCAGCAGCGGTAGCAGCGGCGGCGGCGGCAGCAGCGATCCCTCACATCCATTTTCCCATTTACTGGTTTATCTTTTGGCTCACTTGCCTTTGCTTGTGTTGCTGCACGTGGCTGTTTAGGCGCTGCATCCTCACCAGAACCAGGAGCAGCAGAAGGCAGCAGCAGCGGCGGCAGCAGCGGCAGCAGCAGCAGCGGCAGCAGCAGCAACTGTTACAAGATGACGGTGGAGGTATTTACCCGCAATGGCTTTGACATGGCAGGCGCTGCAGCAGCAATTGCTAGCAGTAGCAGCGGAGCCCCGAAGCGGCTGAAGCAGCGCATAGCAGAGGAGTTGCGGGTGTCTTACCTGACCCATAGCGGTGGGGCGAATGACGGCAGCAGCAGCAGCAACGGCCACCACGGCAGCAGTGGCAGCAAGGCTGAAGACGACGCTGACGATGCACAGATCCTCGCCGAATACATTTTGCATTTACTGCTACGTGAGAAGGCCCCGACGGACCGTCTTCTGGAGGAGTTGAAGGAGTTCCTAGGCCAGCCAGTGAGCAGGCTTGCTGCAGCTGTGTTCGCCACTGCTGATGCTTTTGATGGACTCTCGATCGCCTAACGCCTTTTCTGCAGCTTCTGGTGCTGCTTCGGCTGATGTCTTGAGGCCGTCGTACGACCGCTGGTCTCGTCGCCTCCCTTGAACTGTTGTCCTCGTGCGTTTAGTCTCCCTCTGGTTGTTGTAGGAGCTGCTGAATTTGCTGGTGCTGGGTGTTTGTGCAGGCTGATGACTTCACACGGTGGCTCCAGCGGGAGCTGCAGCAACAAAGTGCTGCCTGCAGCAGCAGCAGCAGTGGGAGACACCGCAGCAGCAGCAGGTCAAAGCATCTCAGCAGCAGCAGCAAGCACGGCAGCAGCAGTAGCAGTGCAAAGCACTCCAGTACGAGCGATGGCACGTCGCGGGGAGGTAGCAGCAGCAGCAGCAGCAGCAAGCAGGGCAGCAGCAGCAGGCATGGCAGCAGCAGCAGCAGCAGCAGCAGCAGCAGTCACAGATACAGCAGCAGCACGCAGCACGAACCCTCCCGCGGGGAGGGCCGCGGCTCTCGAAGCGACAGTGGGGCACGACACAGTCAGGAGGAGCAGCAACAGTAGCAGCAGCAGCAGTAGTAGCAGCAGCAACAACAGCACTAGTAGTGGCAGCAGCAGCAGCAGCAGTATAGCTCTGTACTTCATTGGTAAAGAAAACGTGCGGTGCAATGTCTTGTGCTACAGCGATCTCCCGTCGCCTCATTCTGATGCGTGCCGCAGAGCAGGCGGTGAGTCAGCGCCGCTAACACAGCGGCAACAGCACCAGCAGCAGTAGTCTCAAGCTCGCGTGGCTGCGTTGCTGCGTTTCTGTAGCTGTTTTTACTAGATGTGTTTGCTGCCATGTTCGGGCACTTTCGTCTCTTTTCTTCCTTTTTTGCATCAGCAGTGCTATACGTATGCTCCGTGCGTGTGTCTGTTTGGTGTGTGGAGGCGGTTGATGCGTCTCTCATGTATCTGTCGCCAACCATCTCTGTCTTCTGCTGACGCTTTGCTCTGGAACTCTGCTGCTGTTCAACTGTGGCGTCGCCTTGCAGCCTTCGCAGTACTTTTTTGCTTTTTGGTACATCTTCTGTGGTGTTGCTACACTGTTTGGGGGTGTTTGTGCCTGCATGCATGGGCGCATGTTTGCATATCCTGCCTGCATCTCGCGTCATTCTGTCTCTGCGTTGTCTCTTGTCCCTGTGTATCGCTTGTACTGCAGGCCGTCAGTAGCCGCAGCGGCACCTCTGTGCGCAGTAGCAGGTCCCATCGGTCTCCACCCCGGAGCCGCCGTAGCAGAAGCCGCAGCAGGAGCCACAGCATCAGCAACGGAAGCAAGACGCCACCCATGTCACGCTCTATCTACCTTATGGGCAGCACCAGCAGCAAGAGGAACACGCCTTCCCCTTCGTCAGGCCCTGTCTGGGTCGCTGCTGCTGNGCTGCTGCTGACATCTTTCGGTCTCAGGCGCAGCCCACGGCGTATGAGATGCAGCAGATCAAACAACAGCAGCAGCTTATGCAACAGCAGCAGCTGCTGCAGCAGCAACAGCAGCAGCTGCCGCTGATGCCTGCAGCAGCGACGGCTCCAGCGGATATGCCTGTCCCCGAGTCTGCCCTGCAGCGCGCCCCGAAAGCGATATTGAAGTAAGGAGATGCTTGAGAGAAACTTCTTGTCGCAGAGGTTATCTCATTTGCTGCTGTAACTCAGTTTTTCCGTCTCCTATGCTTGCTTCCTTCAGCCAGTTTGTACTTGCGTCTCTACCGGATGTCTCTCCAATCATTTGTGTCTCTCCTCTTACTCGTCCTCTGTGGCCCGCTTACCGAGTTCCCGCTACACGTGCTGCTGCACTCGCTGTTGCTGCTGGATTCGCTGCTGCCGCTGCTGTTTGCAGACCGAACCCCAGGTTTGTGGAGGCTTTCCTGGCTGCTGAGCATGGGGCCGTAGCAGACAGCCCTTACCCATTGCATCCAGCTTCTGCTGCTGCTGCTCCAACAGCACACCCTATGATGCAACAGCAGCATTCGCACCAACGGATGCCGCTGCAGCAGCAGGAGCAGCAACCGCAGCAGCAGCAGTACGCCCCTATGGCTGGGACGGGGGTTCCTCAGGCCAAGGTGAGTGTTCTCATTGGTAGTGTTGCCTCCTCCTTGCCTTCTCTGTCTGTGTTTTATATCTATTTCCTTCCGTGCGTGGCAGTCTGTTTCGTCCCGGATCTCTGTTTCCTGTGTGGGTGTTCCTTTCCCTTCCTCCGAACGTGCTGTTGCGGCTGTAGCTGCTCGAGCGGCTGCTGCTTCGCCTCCTAGTTTGAGTGGTATGCTGGTGGGTTTGAGCTTGCTGCTGCCGGCGCTGCTGCTGCTGTTGATTTTCAGGTGCGACGTCGCTGTCTGCGGTGGCCGGACTGCCCGTTTGGCACGAAGTGCAACTACATTCACCCGGCTATTCGCTGCGCGAATTTTCCGCGTTGTCCCTTCGGCTCTTCTTGCTTTTACGTGCATCCGCCAGTGAAGTGTCGCTACGGGCAGAACTGCCAGAACCCAAGCTGCAACTTTATGCATCCGGAGCGACCTGTCAGCCGCCCGTACCTCTATTCTTGCAGAACACATCAAGGCCTAGTATCTTGAGCTTCTGTCGCTGACCGCAGTTCCCTGTTTTCTTCGCTGTCTGTCTCCTCTTATGCCTGCCACGCGCGCTCCATGCATGCGGGCCCTTGCCGTTGCCTCATGTCTCTTTTTGGCGCGCTTCAGGGCTGGATGGGTGAACTAGGGGAAGACGGACTTTTTAGAAACAAAGTGTGGACAAAGGACAGTCGTACGTACCTCGCGTTGTTGTTGGTTCCGATGATGTTGCTGATCGATGCTGTTGCTGTTGCTTCTGGCGTCGCAAACGCTACTTCGCTGCCGTCAACCATGGGCAGCAGACGCTCGCAGTTTGTTTGTTGTTTGTTATTTTTGTTGTGTTTCAGAGACTGGTGCACCGGCCGAAGCAGCAGCAACAAACTCCGGTGGGGGTGCCTCCACTGCTCAGCAGAATGCTGCTGTTGCTGCCTTGAGCTTCACGCTGCCTTCCACGCCTCCTTCCCTGAAAAGGAGACAGGCAGCTCCGGAGCAGCAAGAGATGGCGGCCTTAACCCTTCCCCCTGCAGCAGCAGATGGCGACGCGGCAACCCCAGCTGAAGCGGGTACTGATGCTGCTGCGGCGGCACCTGTTGCCGCTGCTGCTGCTGCCGCTGCTGCTGCTGCCGCTGCTGCTGCTGCCCCTGGTGCTGCTCCCGCGGATGGGACGGAAGCCGGAGACATTGAACTCGACGGAGACGCACCGGATGCAGCGGCTATGGCGGAGGATGTCGCAGCCTCGGCATAGCGGCAGCAGCAGCAGCAGCGTTGCAGCCGCGTATCTCAGGTGTCTTGTTGCGGCGGACTGGGATGCAGCTCAAGGGAGAGAGCGGAGCCGTGCATGCGTCTTCTTTGCCGCATGCGCGGGGGGCTGAGTCCCCCGCGTCCATTTCTTTGTTGCTCCCACATGTGCGCGGTAAGGGCTTTCAGTTGTCGCAACGCCGCCAGCTGTAGATGGAGCTGCAGCTGTAGTTGTAGCTGCGGTTGCAGCAGTGGAGATCTGGGCTCCCCCGTTAATTGACTATAGGGGCCCTAGGACAACAATATAGGTGAGCGGGATCAACGAGCACAGGGGACCCTCCCTGGAGAGCCTGCTCCAAGCACTTAAGGCGTAGCAACAAAGGCGGCAACGCCGCCATCCGAGGCACAAGACACTATCTATTGCTTTTGGTTTACTGCTGCAACAGCAGCTCGGCGTGCTGTTGCAGCAACACTGTCGCTGCTGCTGTAGCACGGCGAGTGTTGCTAGAGCAGCAGCGGCTTGAATGTTGCCTTGGCAGCAGTAACGTGACTTCTGCTGCAGCAGGAGCAATATCTAAACTTTGCCACAGCAGTAGCAGCATAAGTTTTGCTTTTGCAGTAGCAGCAAAGTGAGCCTGTGCAGCATCCGTAGCTCGAGTTGGCGGTCCCAGCCACTGCTGCTGCAGCAACGCAGGAGCTACAGCAGCTGCGGAAGCCACCTCTTTCCCTTGGGGAGAGGTTTGGAGTAGCTGCCAGCAGGAAAAAAAAATGGCCGGCGCTATCGGTGTCGCTCCCGGTTACCAGGCAGGAACACTGGCTGGAACTGTTTCTGCGACGGCAACTGCAGCAAATTGCTCTTGCTGCTGGAGGCTCAACAGGCCCCCCCGAGAAGCAGCAGGAAAGATGGTATGCTTTGTGCCGCTGGAAGAGGGAAGATGCCAATAGCGCATACAGACAAACAGAACACGTCACCGGCAACCTTGCCTAAACAGGGAGAGACATACCGATAGCAGCGAGCAGCACTAGATAAGCCTTCAATCATCTGCGTCTGTGAACGCAGATAAACGAGATAAAAATGCTTTGCTCCCACTGAGACTAGAAACGGATATAAATAGAAGCGCAGACGGCAAAGGCAGGAGGCATCTGCAACACCTTAGGGAAGGCGGACAGTCTGAGGCAGCTGTAGTGCCCAATCCCCCACAAAGGGCGCCTGGTTGCTGCTGAGGCCAATGTCGTACCTGTAGAACAGCAGCAGCAGCAGCAAGAGGCACGCGCTCGTATTCACGCGGCAAGATAAACGATTGAAGCCTCATAGAAATAACGCCGCGGGGCTGCCAGGGGACTGCCCGCCACTCATGCGTAGATGGGGTGCTGTTTTCTGCTTATCGGGTCTCCCTCCTGTCTATGGCTTGTTTCTCCTTTTGCTGTCGTTAGTCTTCGTGTATAGATTGCTACTATTGGTATGTTTTTTACCTCCACCTGCATTCGTATTGCCTGCTGTGCGCGTACGGAATTATGTCTACCGCTGTAGCGCAAGCGTCGTGTCCGTTTCTTCTGTCTCTATTCTAACTGGTGCTTCTCACATGCAGCTCTCGTCTGTCTGTACCTACACCTCCTCGCTCCGGCTTCGCCGGGTCTCGGGCATCACTGTTTGCTGTTTCCTTATCTATCAGTGGCTGCATTTCTCAACAAATACTTGTCTACTGTATCTCTCCTAACCAATTCTAGTCTCTTTAAGGAGTTCTAGTCTGTTGTCTGTGCCTCTCAAGGGCTACTTGTCTTTAGCCTAAAAATATCTCTTGAGGACTTATCTTCTTCACCATAAACACTAGAAGTCTTTGAGAGAGAGACAGGCAAAAACCGTAACAATCTCTGATATTTATCTGTGTCTCTGAATGTCTACTCTGTCTCTGACTATTAGTGTTGACTGTTTCCCACGAAAGTATTCTCCCGTACCCGTAGAGGTGGTGGCTGACGGTCGGTGGCGGGAGATGAAATTGCCGCGCCGTTGCCATTTCGACGACAGCAAACAAAACCTGCCTAATGGATTTCTCCACTTCCTGCTGTTGCCTCATCTTTCGCGGCAGGTACTCTGCGAAGCGCTGCTGTTGCTGCCGTTGTTGCTGCTGTTGCTGCTGTTCCGGCTGCGGTTGCAGGTGCAGTGCCTGTTGCTTCCCGCACTCGGTAGTTCCCGCAGCTGCTGCTCCGTCCGCCGCCGTTGCTGCTGAGATGCATGCTTGTTTGGCTCCAACGAGCCTACCTTGACAACACTGCGTCGCGCTGCAGCAGCAGCTGCTGCTTTGCAGACGCCGTTTGCCGGTTCCCGGCTTGCTGCTGCAGGCGCAGCAACTGCTGCAGCTCTGCGTACACCAACAAATGGAGATGGGTAGCAGCCACCGCTCAAAGGACAGTCTTTCTACTGAAGACGAAAGGAATCCGAAGGCTTTAGGCCGTCGTATGTACAACACGACGGTCACAGTGTAGTAGGCTTGCGGTTGCTGCTGCTCCAGGCTAGCACCGCTCTCCACGAATCCTGCATCAAAGATGAACAAATGAGGAGCAGCGCCAACACCCGTATCAGCGATAGCAACAGCAAAACCAGTGAGAACGGCAGCGGTAGTTGTCGCTGCAGAGGGGCGGCAGCAGCTCTGTAACCTTCCTGCTGCTCCCCCCTGCTGCACTAGCAGTAGGTCACCCGGCTGCGTCATCATGTACGTGTCCTGGGTCAACCATTTGCGACACAGTGGCAGTTGAAATACCTATAAACGACAGCAGCTTCCTTTCAACTTCTTCGGTTAGTTGTGGAGCCTGGCTAAGGCGCAGGTAGACCACCGACAAGGAAGGAGAGGCGTGTGCTTGAAGGCGCAAGTCGGCCCGGCTCCCACCTTCTGCAGGGCCGCAAATGCAGACGCAGCCACCGCTTCCGCCACCGTTTCTATTATTGATGTTGCTGTAGCTCCTGCTGTCGCTGCTGCTGCTGCTGTTCTGAGGCATTGGGCTCCGGTCAAGGTCACCGGCGTACTGCAGGCCTTCATGTGGCTCGGGACGGTCCCCCTGCAGTAGTTTATCTTCTGCCTCGCTGGTCGCCAGAAGCGAACAGCGCTGTGGGTAGTCCCAGTTCTGCGGCTCAAACCGGCCGTTGTAGTTTTTGCTGCTGCTGCTGCTGCTACTAGTGCTCCTATCTGTGGACGGAGACGAACGCGGAGAAGAAAGGGCCGCAGTCAGGTCCCCTCCCTGTTTGCAGTCTACTCCACCCCTAACCAATACGGGAATAGCCGCTGCCCTTGAAGCTGCAGCAGCTGCTGCTTGATTCTTCGATTGTGTTTGCGACTCCCCGTGGGTTGGCTGCGGCCCTCTAGAGGCACTCTGCGGACGCCTCTCCATAAGTACACGGGACTCTTTAGGAGAAGAGGAGCTTTGCGGGAGACGCAGCATCAAAATCGTGTGGATAACACAGCGAAGAGAGGCCCCTAGAAGAGGTAGGGGCACATGGACCGAATCTAACGACATCTCAACGCAGTTTGTCTGCATGGTACGTGGGACGTATAGGCAGCTCTTTAAAAAGACACCCCAAATAAATAAGAGGTGCAATTTTTAAATAAAAAACGCAGCTTCATGAGGCCGAGATGCACCAATGCGTTGGTGGCGGGCCCCACGGAGCTGCTCAGGGTCACCAACAGGACCCCAGGTGCCCTGTGGCTGTGTGGTTGTTTTGTGTGGTTGGGTCGGATATATTTCGAACTAAAAAAAGAAAAGCGTCGTTTGTGTCCCTAAAGGGAAGCAGAGGCGATCAACAGCAGACGCTTTCTTCAGATTCAGGGGGCTTAAAAGCGCCACAACGGTCTGACCACTGGGCCTGGAGGGCTTCCAGTCACTGCTAAAACATGGATCTTCTCCTTCCCGTTGCTGCTCGCTCTAGTAGAAGCACCCATAGCTAGACGAAGCAAATGGGGGCGTAGCGGCCTTATGCACCGCTACGCCGCCACACGTACCTGGGTTCCTTGTGGGCAAGCGAAACATGGGGCCCCTCTCCACTACTCCACCCTCTGTGCAGACATAAAGGCACATGGAATTATATAGCTGCAGGTGGCTTAAGGTAAAGCGAGATAGGAAGGCTGGCAAACGAAAAGGATCTCAACGCGTGACGAGGGAACGCCTGGCTGCAGACGGGGAATGTACCATTGTCTGTTGTGAGTTGATCTGCGTATTATTACTTGCGTGCAGGCTGGATAGTGAAGGCCAAGTAATTGTTCAACAATTATGCTAAATGTTAGGGCATGCAGAAAAAGTCGCTTGGTTGTGTATCCATGTGGGTTTGGCTTGCAACAAGAGTTGCAACGGGATGCGTTGAAACTCGTGAGGCCGCGCGATTTCTCCCCCCCTAAGGCCCTTAAGCCAGCTGTCCCAGGCTGCATGGGGACAGGAGAAGGGACCGGTTGCATTTTGGAAACTTTTACCTTACATTTCGACTCCGTCGCAACTCGTGGCATGAATACGACCGAGTAATCCCGCACGCACAGGAAGGCAACAGACATGCTGCTAAGACTAAAACCCATGACTCTCCTAAACACGGCAGTCTGTATTGCATCTCTTTAACGAGCCTTCAGTGCCAACGGAACGCGCAGAGGATGCCCGTGCGTACACTACACATCGAGCCTCTTCTCTCGGCTGCCGGCGCGCGCTGCTGCCGTGGAAGGAACTGGAACCGAAATTTGAAATGCAGGAGCCATATATATACATATATATATATATATATATATATATATATATATATATATATATATATATATATATATATATGCCCGAGACTGCATACCTACTTCGCCGCATCCGTAGCAGCGTTATGCTTGCGTGATCCGCACCAGTTCGCTTGCACGTCTTGCGCAGGCACCTGTTTGCTGCACTTCTTGGCTAATAGCTGCGACGCTATATCGTGCGCGTAGCTGAAGCGGGCGGGGGGAGTCAGGTGAGCTAATTTGGGTTTTTGTTTCTCTGGCTGGATTGCAACATGCTGATGTGATGTCGGTGTCTCGCTAACACAGAAAACTTCCGTTTGTGGGCGTTCGCCCATGGTATTAAGAGGCGACGCATCGCAGGCTAGAATAGCTTAAATTCATATTCATCTTTACATCTGCATAAACTACGGGTGGCCCGCGCAAGGGCCTCTCCTCGAAGAAGCAGCGGGGCCAACGTCGGGCCCGAGCAGGCGTTGCAACTAAAAGCAATGGTTTCTTGAATGTACACTGCTACAGCAGCAAGCATCGTAAAGACGCTCGAGCGTCTGACACTGGGCATGAAGCCAGGCGGGTGTATCTCCAGTTGGGCGTGCGTTGGCGCACCCGCGTCAATTCTTCCAACTTCTATCCTCTTTGCGGTAGTCCACGTATGCGTCCGGCTCCATTGAAAGCACCTGCGTTTCGCATACAGGAAGAGACGAGAATGGGGCAGTTTTAACAGCTACTTGGTTTCCTAGCGGCCCAAGCCTAAGTAGCGGTGCTGGGCGCACACTGCTGCAGAGATTGCGGAATAGATGAGATGCCAGGAGACGGGGAAAGAGACAATCGACCGTACCGGGGTCGCCGCTATCACGGGTTCCTTCTCGCAATACACCGAGTCCCGAACGTAAACTGCGCAAGTGCTTGAAGGGAGATAAATTCTGACAGAGTGCGGCCGGCTATCCTTGGCCTCTGTTGCTGGATGCTGCGTTCTTGGGGCGAGCCTACCGAACCCCCCAAACCGCTTTTCGTCACTGTCCAGGAAAAGCCGCATGGGCTCGTTGTACATACATCCCACGTGGAAGCCCTCATAACTCTGTAGATGCATGCCCGACAACACAGGAGCAGCTCACGAGCATCACCAAGAAGGTAAGCCCCTTCAAAGGACATAGAAAGGAATCTAATGGGGTAGACATGCGCACGAAGGTCGGCATCAAGGGCGGAACTGCAGCAGCTGCTGCAGCTTTGTGTCTGAAAAATTCCAGTCGTCGGGTGCTGCTCACGTTGTGGGGGTGGAAGTTAAATGCGAACAAACACTGTCCCCGCTCTAGGACAACTACCTGGGCCTCTTCATCGCACTTGACGACGTAGAGGTGGGTGGCAGACTGCCAGCCAAAAACACTTTCCCAGTGGTTAAGGCAACAGTCAAAAAGCTGCAGCAACCTCCCACAGGCTCATATGATATTGGGGTTAATAACAATATGAGAGACGAATGTGGAGACAAAAACGAACGCACACCAGCAGAGACCCTGACGCTCTCGTTCTGTCGAGTTCTGCATCTTTTGTGCAGGAGGTTTGCTGGTGTTCAGGTGCTTGGGCTGTGTGCATGTCAGTGGTGAGGAGCCAGAAAGACAGCAGCTGCTACAGAGGGAGTCAACCGGAGACAGTCTAACCTCGCACTGGGTGAATTTGAGGGCCGGGCTGTCCGCCAAGTTCCACCGCCTGAAGGCCTTCGCCATAGAAAAATGATTAGCAGGACGTGGCAAGTCCAGCCCGTCGGGATGGGCGAACTCGTTCGCCATGAAGTTCATGCGCCCGTCCGCCAAGCCTGACCCCAGCAAACGATACAACCGCCACAGCGCCAATCCACTCAGCACGTGCGGGTCGCAGTCTTCCACTGACATGTGTTCATACATTGCCTGAAGGGACAGAGAAAGAGCCAGACACAGTAGCGCAAGTGACGCAACAACACGGCATTAAGGAGGATACAGACACAAACAAGCAGCATGAAGTAATAACCAAAATAACATGCGGGGTGAAGAACGCTTTAGAAGCGCGTAGGAAAGAAGATACAAGCGCCAGACATCACATCTCCCGGCCATCAGCGGTGACGGAGAAGCGAAAGAAACAATTACAGAGGCAGCTGCCAGGAAGAGACATGCGAAGGCAGGAAGGCAGCCTTACTGGGCCGATAAGAGCAAACGCAAGCGTGTCGTCCCCTTCGCTGCTGTAGCTCCAGTTAGGGGGGGTGTCGTGTTTGTTGCGCTGCTCATAGTATATTTCCCGAGTCTGCTGCGCTATGGAGTCCCAGCTGAAACTGAAGGCCGCCGTCACGCGGCCTCGAGACCCCATCCACCGCGCATGTTCAAAGTTCTTCAGGATCTCACAGCAGCCCCAGGCGATGCTCCCAGGGGTGGGATCCTGCAGCGCAAGACCACAGGAAACAGACGCGAGGAGACTAAAGGATATAGGTGTGAGGAGAGTGACTCGGACAGGTGCGAGGAGACAGAAAGACAAGGCACCAGATACATGAAGACAATCAGATAAAGTTGGTGCCTGAGCCTGCCCACTATGTCCCCAACCCCGGAAACGGCCAACTTCCCTTGTTCTGCAAGGGTTTCCAACCGTTGTCTCTGCGCTCATTTTCTGTGTGTAAATTGTACTCCTTGTCTTTTTATGATTTCTCATTGTGAATTCTAGTTCTTGTTTCTGTGTGAACTCTAATTCTCGTCTGTGTGAATTATTTCTGTGTGAATCCTAAGGCGGTCCTTTTCCTTCTGGACACTTCGCACAGTCAAAGTTTTCGCTATGCCGAGACAGGTACCGCTGGGCTAAGAGAGAAATCTAGGTGGCGGAGAAACGGGAAAAAGAGACAGTGCCGTCACTAACCACAAGAACACCCGTGATGTTTGGATTGACAAAATCCCTAGGGCCCCCGCTATTCGTCGCCACGACGGGTTTGGAGGCACTCCACGCCTCGAGAACGACTATGCCAAATGGCTCGTTTCTTGAGGGCACCACCACAGCGTCGCAGGATTTGAAAAGCGCATGCAAAGCTCCGCCCCCCATCTTCCCCACAAACCGCACTGAGCAAACACAAAGGAAACGAGGATACACGCCGCTTTCAGAACAGTCTTCAGCGAATAGCCAACGCACAGGGAAGGCCCTGCAGTGCACGGGCGAGCTGACGGAGGACTGAGAATGTTCAAACGCCTGGCCATATCTCCACATAAAGAGAGACAGAGAAAAAATGCAGCGAGTCCAAGCAGCAATGCGAAGGTGTAGTGGGGTACCGGAATGGGTGACGCCCAGCTGAGCTGCACGTCCCTTCAGACTCTCCATCATGTGGCCGTCTCCCACAAAGACGAACTTGGCGTCACCTCTGAACTTGTGGATGAAGGGAACCGCCTCTAGCAGGAGGTCGGGACCCTTCTGAACGACCATTCTACCTGTACACCACAACAGTAGGCAAAGGCCAACTATGCCCCCCCAGACGCAGCAGCAGTAGCAACTGCACTAACAAGCCACCACGCACAGACTGCCCGGCTCCCCTGAAACGTCGCCTACTACATCCCGCTGAGATGACAGCCGTTTACAACGGCATTGGCTGCAACAAGTTCAACGGCGAACGCATGAACTTCGCCTTCAGTACGCCAAAAGCACTGATGTTGAAGCTGCTTCTATATTCTATATGGCTCTGAGGGCCTGAGACCGACATAGGGGAGGAGTATGTGAGGGGTCATCGTACCGACGAACAGAAACATGGGGTCAAGAGCCCCCACTCCGTATGTGTGCTTGACCGCCCCAGGGTCTACCTCTCCGTCGAACTTGTTGCAGTTAATGCCGTTGTAAATGACCGTCATCTTTGCGGGGTGCACCCCGTACTGAGCCCTCACTTCCTCCGCCAGCACTCCGCTCACGCATATTACGCGGTCAGCCAGGTGACACGCCTCAGCTGTAGCGCCGGAGCCACAGCAGCAACAAAACACGGCAGAACAAATATTGTTCGTTCACACAGAATGAGGCAGACACCCCAGGTTTGTCCGTCACTTCTCTATTCGCATGCAGACAAACGCACAAGCGTATGGGCACGCAAACAGCAACAGGATCGCCTAGAACGGAATGCGCAAGGAGTAGATTTTCATGGAGGCTAACCCTCGATGTCTCGAATGCGCTTCGATACGCCGCCATAGTTGTTGTTGCCGCAACGGCCGAACTCCGTTGAGTGCATCGTGAGGATAGCAGTTCTTCCCTGCATGCACCAGACATAGAAAGTCTGTCAATACATCCCAAACAGGCTGACTATCTCCACAAACCGCAAGGAGAACACAGCGGGCGTATCGCTTATGCTGCCGGCTTCTCCCCAGCCCAAATGAGGGCTCATCGAGTGTCTATACAGCCGGTTGAAACAACAAACGACTTGCCATTTGCTTGGCCCTAATGAGGGCCCTGCCGGTGAGCCAGTCGTGTGCGTGGCAGATTTCGAACTCCGTCCCCATTGATTCCTCAACGCTCAGCATGCAGGCAATGAAGCTTTCGCACATGTTTTGTATCTCCACCACGAAATCTCGATCCAAATCAAACGTGCACTCATGGTACATCACACCATAGTGCTCCGAGCAGCCGCCGCATGACTCCATCGCCCGAACAAACACATGCACTTCGTGACCTTGTCGCGACAGACCCGCCGCCAGCTCCGTCACGTGCGGAGCTACACCTCCGACCGCATGCGTGTGCAACGATTCCCAAGCAAACAGCGCGATCTTCAGGCGCCTGCAGCAGCAACAGCAGCAGAAAAGGCAGGGGCAGGACGAGCTGAGACAGCACGCGCAGCAGCGGCGGGGAGATAGGGATAGGCGACGGCCTTTTGACTGACGCAGACAGAAGAGTCTATACGGTAGTTAGGACACGACGGCTCGCCCCCAGAAAACCAACTAGCTAGCTGAGCAGCTAGCCCGCTGTAAGGGTAGCTGACAGCTAGTAATGCACGATAAACATGATGACTACTGCCTCCACAGCTGCTTCTTCATGGATAGAATGGACAAACGAACAGCTGGGCAGGTCACTACGCAAATAGCTGGAAATGAAAAACGAGGACGCGCATATACAGCTAGCCAAATAGGTCTTCAAGTAGCTGTTCTTGGGGTCCGAATACCCTGCGCACCTCCTGCAGAATCTTGTGGTATCGGCGTCTTCTACGGCGACGAGAACTTTCTCCGTGTTTGGCTTGCTGGCAAGGGCCCAAAGAACTTGAGCAGTCATCCAGCGCCCCTGGCGGTGCCCTGATTGCCGGATGAGGCGGCGGAGGTTTTGGCTGAGGGAGCTGTCGAGCCGGTAGTCGAAGCCTAGACCGCCCTGCGAGATGGGCCTGCACAGGGTGGGGTAGCCTGTACATTCCTGCGCAATGGAGAGGCGCTGGTCCGCTGGCAGCAGCGAGGAGAGGAGAGAGTTCGCGAGAGACAGGTACAACACGCCAGAGGCACACAAGTCCCGGCTCAGATACGCGGAGTAGTCGTATACGTCCGGCTGACGCAGCACGCTGCGCTGGTCGTACAGCATCCATGGCACGCCTTCCAGTCGAAAGCCGTCGAGCCTGCGGGGGTCCTCAGCAGTCCGTGACGGGGCAAAAGAAAACACCGCATGCAAAGTGCAACGGAAGAACCATAGGCCAGAGACAAGAAACGTACGAGGCACCAGCTAGCTGCCTCTTTAGCTACCCACAAACGTCGAAGGAGACAGCAAATAGATACGATGCAGAGACCCTAGCTGCTGCATAGAAGAAGCTACGCTTGTGCTGGTCTACACCGTGACGCCGTCTGCGCCGCTGGGACAGCAGAGACACCAGGAGGGACGCAAATGCAGACACGACGAAGGGGCAAGGACGCACTGAAATTCGGTAATCCAGTAAGTTATGTTCGAGAGGAGAAAGCGCACAACTTCGGTTTTTGAGAAGTCGAAGACCTTGGCCTCCTCTACAACTCCTGAAGGGCCACTGACGAAGTAGTTGTTGTCACCGCCGTCTATACAGCCCAGTCCATCCATGACGTTCTTGGAAGAATGTGCGTGACAGAGACTTATCAATACCCGCAAGCCCAGCGCATGCGCTTTGTCTACTAGGGCTTTAAACTCTTCCACTGTCCCCAGGCGGCTGCTGACTGCAAAGTGGTTTGTCACGTAAAGCCCAAAGCTCGCGAAATCTGCATGCTCGACCACGTCAAGGAGCTGTGCATACACCGCAAAATGCGAGCCAAAGAAAAGTGATTCAGAACAAAATATCCCACGCAGATACAAGGAGGGAGACAGGCGCAGGGACCCCTAAGGACAACCAATGTGGCTCAACACTGGCAAGTGAGGCCGCATGCACAGTTCCTGTCCGGCAAAAAGAAGCAACAGAGGATATCGTCAGCTTGGGGTCTGGGGATTTCACTCTCCAGCACAGCATGGAAGATTGTAAGGGCGGCTTGGGGTTCCCCTCCCGCCAGTACCGCCAGAAGAAGTTCCACCAGCAGCAACAACAGTCGCAGAAGAGTCACAGCGTGAGCAGTACTACGACAGAGTAATGGTAGCAGCAGCAGCACAGAGGCCGACAGTCGTCCGTTTGTCATTTCGTTAGCCCACCAGTACGGTGTTGTATCCCAAGTTCTTGATGCGTGGCAGCAGCGTCTCAGTGAACTCCACAAATGTTCCAACGCGCCCCTCCTCCCCGCTGGAACTGCCAATGTGCGCCTCATATATGGCGGGAGCAACGTCAGCTGGCACGCGGGGCCTTGGATACCGAAAAATATGCCGTTCCTGCCGGAAGAAGCAACACCCCAGAAGCCCCCCCTCTCCCCCCTTCCCCACAAACTCATATTATACGCGAGCACAGATGGGCAGGAGACGCAGTCCTTTCAGCCAAAGCCAAACCTTAAATCCCAACAGCAGCGCAAGCAAATACTAAATAGAGTACCACCCGAGAGAAGGGAAGCATTCAACAACACCAGAACCTTAGGCCAGTCCACCTTTTAGGGACTGCAAGAGGCTCTCAATACGGGGAAAAAACATAAGGGATGCACGACCCTCCATAAACAGCAGCAGCAGCGGCGGCAACAGCAGCAGACGCCTCGAGACGCACTGCTCCAGGAATCAACGAGACAAACACCACCAGCTCCATCTAGGCACAGACACTCTACACAGCATGGCCGCGCGAACCCACACAGACGCCCACCTCCTCTGGCGGGTTCCACAGGACTGCGTTGAAGAGCCCGGAGTCCTCGCTGCGCCAGACGACTCGGGACCAGCTAGGCACTCTGTCGATAGGGTCTCCTTCTTGAGGTACCACCAGCACGCGCAGCCGGCAGCTGCACAGACACCTTGCCCCACAAGCCAATTCTCATCCTGCACTGGCCCATTACCAGCTAGCTACCCCCCACGGTTCTAGCCCATGCTCTGATCGCAAATACCCGCTTCCCGCCCAGCAAGCTATACCTTCATCGCTAGCTAAAGGATGCACAAAATATCACCGTGGACCGCTGGCTACCTAGCTAGCTAGCAAAAGGAACTGCCTGCAACACCAGCACCAACTGCTGTTGTCACGAGAAAGAAGCGGAGGTATGCATGTCTTCCTTGTTACTTCCGGGGATTCGTGCTCTGGGGACTCTATTGGGGTTGCTTCTATCAGGTGACTTGAGGGGGCCTGCAGCGTCACCTGAGCGCGAGGCTCACCGATGAGAGAGCGCAGGAGATCCGTCAGGTCTGTCAGGTAGGAAGATGGACCAGACGGAGCTAAGCTGCTCTTCGGGTGTTTGGTCAGCTGAGCTTTCGACCTTCCGGCCCTTTAGGGCCCCCAACGAGGCCTCGAAGAAGAAAGGCGCAACCCCACGACGTTCACGCTGAAGAGGGTGGGAAGAGCGGTCCCAGTTGTTGAAGTCCCCAAAGAGATACACCGCCTTGGCGTTCGGCAGCCACTCTCGGTAGGCGTACCCTGGCATGCTGCACGGGACATAACAAAACCAAAAGACGCACAACAAGTCCAAGGGCATACAAGTGAAGAGACGTACAACCAGCAGTAAAAGGGAGCCCTGAAATCTTCTCTGCACAGCCTGTTCCATACGGCCGCAGGAAACGAACAACAGTGGCCTGGGACGATCTCCTCTCCCCAGCACACGCCTCTGTAGTAGGAGCAGAGTAAGTGAACGACACTCCAAGAAGGAACAAATGCGGAAGCGAGAGACAAGGCAGAAGGCAGGGCTAATTTCATACGGTGTGCATGTAGGTGTGCGCACCCGTCAACTACGGAGCGCTGTAGACCGAAGAGTTTGTGCCCCGCTGCGAAAGCTTCGAGGCTGCCGAACGAGTCCTTAATTGCTGCAAGTGTCTCCGTGAGCGTCAAGAACCGCTGCCGGAGCTGGGGCACAAACTCCTGCAGCTTCGAGTCCAACTGAACCACAGCGCTGCCGTCCAGTTGGGAGGCCCAGTCACAGGTGTCGCGGGGGGCACGCAGCGGGGTGAAGGCGGGCTGCAAGAGGGCATATACTGCAAGGGAGACAGTTCGTGAGTACGTAAAGAAAGAATTTACCGGCAACAAGAAGAAGGCACGCCTTACGTGGCGAAAACAAACAAATTGAGATAACACGGAGTCCCCTGCTGCTTCGAAGGTGACTGATAATCGGCAGCAAATGGCCCCTACGGCTGCACAACGGAGCTACGGGCGGCAGCTCTACCGCGCCTTCTTCGTATAGTTACTGCGCTGTACTCTCTCGTGTGTCCCCGCATCTATCCACATTGCACGCTGCATCTGTCTGTTTACTCTTCCCTATCACAGCATCAGCTACATGGTACGCCTTCTGCTGTGTCTCTGCGCTTCCTTCCTGTCTCCTTCGTCTCACCACATCAAGGCCAACTGGAGGTCCGTAGCAAAGCCCTGTCTGTTCGCGTCGCGTGTGCAGGAGACCCCTGAAGGTCAAAACTTCCCTTGAAGCCACCAGCGGGGCCAGAGCCTCCTGCATCTCTCTCCATTCCGGCGAGTCGATGATGAAGCTGCCTTCTTGATGGCTGCGGAGACATCTCACGCCCCTCACGCCAAGGCCTTCAGTCAATAGGCAAGCCGTTAAAGAGGATTCTGCGCCGCTTTTAGCAGCAACTCAGCACCAGCAGCAGCAGGCAGCAGCAGGTAGCAAGAGCAGCAGGGAGCAGCAGTAGCAGGTAGCTGCAGCAGCAATGCAACGGTTTCGGCGCATAGATCGTGTAGGCCGCCTACTCTCGGAAGTGATAAAAGATGGACAGACACCTGGGCTCGTCTGACCGCGCCAGCACGACCACGCTGGCCGCAAGCTCTTGGCACGTACTTCCTCGTCTCGCTCCCCGCTGTGCCTGCAGCATCGGCGCCCCCTTAACCAGGATAAGTATCAGGAGGAGCAGCAGGCCTAGCAGCGGCAGCGCTGGGAATTGCAAGGCCAGCAGCAGTAGTAGCAGCAGCATTGGCAACAGCCGATGTAGCTGCATGTTGCTGATCTTGCGTGCATGTGCGTGCGCGTGCGTTTACCTTGAACTGGTCTGTGACGGGGACGCGGAGACAACCTTGATATGCGTGTTGGTGTAGCGTGTCTCGCAGTCTCTCTGTGTCCCCCATGATATCGAGTGCAACTGGCGGCGTCTCCTGAGCAGCGGCCCCATTGGTGTGGGGAGTCTTTTTGGATGCGGAGGAGAGTGTCCCTCTGCGGAGGGTCACCTTGTGTTCAATAACGAGGGTATCATCGAGGGCGAGAGGGACAAGTGCCCCGGCCATGATGACCCGGCGGCACCTCAGCTGCACGGCCGCAGCGTTCATCTCCGTCTGGCTCTCCCATCCCATCAGCTCTTTAGTCGCGATCTCATTTGCTGCAAGTTGTAAGAAGCTCTCCATCTGAAAAGCAAACGGGGCCTCCTCCTCTTCTCCCTCACCATTGGTGCTCATCGTGCTGCTGCCGTGTGTAACGGCATCGCTGTCTCCGCCTTGGAAACCCGGAGACACTCGCGTCTGCGCCTGCGACCCGCAGCCAGCCCCCGCCCCTGTGCCCAGAACCAGCGAAGAGACAGCTCCTTCTATCAGACGAAACCGCACAACTGAAGGATGCTGCCCCCCGAGACCTTCCTTGTTGCCCATGGGCGGGGGCCTCGAGGTTACGCTCCTGTTGCTGCTGCTGCTGCGGCTGCTGCTGCCGTTCGTGCTGCAGCCGTTGCTGTTGCTTTGCCCTGCAATGTCTGCTGCAGCATCGGCTGCAGTAAACGGACGCTGAAGGCTCTCGACTTGCTGCAGAAACCGCTCTGCAACTGCCGAGCCGTCGTGCTCCCGCAGCAGGTGAAGTTGGGCCCCTCTCACCTGCTCTGCGTATTCAATGAAGCGCTCCACCAGCCGCTGCTGTTCGCCCTGAGGAAACGATGCCCCACGCACAGCACAAAAAACAGTTGCAGCAACACGCCGAGAGAAACACCCCGACGGAGAATAGTGTATAATGCGCAACCCAAGCCACCCAGATGCCCGCAGAAGCACTCCATACAGAAGAGATAAAGCCAGGCGGATCCTCATGAACAAGCAAGAAGAGGAGGCATAGATGCATGCGGATAAACGCTTAAGACGTAATTCCCTACTGGAGACAAAATGCCACGGGCTTAATTCCCGCCAGCTCTGCAGCAACCTGCCATTGGAGGCCCCCAACGCGGTTTCATCCGCAGCAACAAAGAGAAAAGGCGACAGACTGTTCTGCAGCACATGGCACCGGGGTGGGGCACCACGGGACGCGGGAGCCCCCTGGGGGGGGGCCCACACTTGGGGCCCTTATAGCTCCTCCGACTTACAACAGGGACCGCGAAGAGGGCATCAGCGGCGCTGAGCCTGTCTCCTCGTTCCGTAATGACGCGGAGGAAGGAAGAAGAAGGTATCTTGGTGATGTACTGTTGCCGCTCCTCGTCCTGGCGCCTACCCGCCCTTGCGGCCTCCGTCTCCGCGCCACAAGGCCCCAAGGAGGCGAAGCCTCCAGTTCCTATGGGCCCCGTCATTAGGCCGCAGGCGAGGAGGCGGATATGCAGATGACGGAGGCACTATCAAGCAAGACAGGGGGCACGGGCAGTTGTAAGGAATTGTTTCTTGCGCTGCTGGCTCTGCGTTTTCTGCGGTGTACGAGGGAAAGTGACGGTTAAAGGCCTCCCTGTGAATATGGAGGCTGAGAGGCGCAAATAGCCTTGAAGGGAACGGATGCAGCTGCAGCCGAGAATGTGCGCTGCAGAGGTGGCGAGAGGGACAGGCGACCAGCTGCTGGCAGCGTTCGGGTTGGCGGACCGCTAGAGAAGCACCAGCAGCAGCAAGGGGACTGCCTTAATAAAACGGAGACAGAAAAACTCTAAAGCAGACAGCGCGAAAACGCTGTGGATACAGGTAGAGCAGCAGCGCGGCAACCGATGCCGGCGCGGACAAAGAAAGGTGCCCGTGGCCCCACAGAGGCAGCTGAATACGAGTTATTAAAGCGACAAGCTGCTTAAATCCTATCCAACTCATTCCCAGTTCAAGTAGTTTCTCGCCGAATCTCCTGCTTCCTGTCTTCGTGCTAGCTTTCTACAGCACGCGCCGAGACAGCCCGCAGCACGAGCGCATGCCCCAGAGCTGTTATCCTCTGTGCTGCTGCTGCAGCGGCCTAAAATGTCTATTTGACGGAAATAGACGTAAACAGTTATTGCTAAGAATTGAAAATTCACCTTAATCCTTAACTGTGCCTCCCTAAGGCCTCCTAATGCGTAGAGCTCCGCGCCCGACAAACCGTTCCGCCGCAGCGGGCGGGACAGGTCGCTCCCTTTCAGTAGCAGGAGGAGCCAAAGGGAATTTTACACCCTCTTAAGAATTATACGCCTAAAGTACTGTTAATTTTACCCTTATAATCAGCCAATTAGGGCGGGGAAAAAGGCCCAAGGCACCCCCCACACGGTCACATAGCGGTCACTTCGGCGCAGCTCGCCCCTGAACGCCTTCGTGGGAGAAACGACTTCTCAGCCTTTGAAGAGATAGCCCGGGTTTCAATGCAAGTGAAGCGTTCCGCGGTCCTCAGGAAAAGGTAACGTCACATCTGAATTAGTTCGTGTCCCTCGTCGGCGAGACGCACAGCCCAAAGAAAAATATAGGCAGATATCAATCCAGTCCAGCTAGCTAGGGCGCCTCCTATAAACACAGGAAGTATAATTTAGAGGCGTCTAGCTACTGGAGACGATCGCCTGTCACCTCCTATAGCCCCTCCGTCCTTGGCCGGTGGAACCTGCGGTGGTGCTCCAGGCACTTGAGACCACGACAGAGACGCAGAAGCAGACAGCTTCAGCTGCTACCAGTGATCCTGCTGCTGCTAGAGTTGTTGCTGCTGTTGTGAGTCGGAGACGTAGTAAAGGGATTCGTAAGTAAGAAGCACATTAGCTGATACTACGAACTCCGAACTCCTGTAGAGTGGCTCATATTGACACACCCTCGAAACGTCTGTCCGCCGCACATGAGTTTTTCAGTTGGAGGTTGGTTTTTATATCGGGAAAGCTTCGTCTTATAGACGAGAGGCGTGTACAGCAGATACACAGTGAAGCTACTGAAGGACCCTACGCTCCGCTTCTTTGGGCTATTTGGGCAGTTCACTCTTGTTCGTTGTGCCGCTGGCATCAGAGTCTGTCCCTGTTTCTCCCCCCACACCGTCCCCCTCCATTTGTTCTGTTGGGCCTCAACATTCCCCCCGTGTACAGGACTTGACGGACTGTGCTACTGGTTTAACTTCCTATCCAACAGCATTATACAATGCGCTACATGGAAACATGAATCCTCAACCCTGGTAAACCCCCAACAGCCCAATCGTATGCGTATTGACTTTCCGTCTCCCCCTCGGCCTCTGGAATATCCCTACCTGTCCTCTGTCCGTCCATACGCATGTGCAGTTCTCATGTTTCCTCCTATCTGCAGTCTCGTTTGTCTGCCTCTGTCTCCCTGGACTCATGGCTGTGTGATGCCTTCATATGCCTTCCATTGTGCTGGTCTATGCTGGTCTATTTTCCGTTGTCTTCCTGTTCATGCCTAGGCGTGCCTATGTGTGTCTGCCTTAACCCACCTGTCTTTGAGAGCAAGGAGAGAAAAGCAACAGTCCACCGGGACGTTATCAAGTTAAGATAACGCCAAAAACTCGCCGAATAGTCACTTTCACTCCTTCTTTGTGCCTATTAAATATGAAGCTACTCGGGGCCGCTTCCATGAGCAAAGGCCCCCAAAGAACACCCAAAGGCAGCTAGCGTTTAGAGTGTAGGGTTTGGTGATACAATATATAAAATTAATATTTATTGGCGCCGCAATTCAAACCCCGGTCAGCTGTATAGCCAGGCGTCTCTTAAACTGAAGCGAGACGCTGCGTTACTATTCATGAAGAAGTTAAAACCTCCACCAACACGACAAAGGGACAACAAAGACACCCCCTTGCTGCCTCTACTGATGTCCTGATATGCCAAGTACGTTTTCCGCAGCGGGCACCTGCAACAACTGGAGCAAAAGCAGAAACTGCAACAGCAAGGCCTGCAGAAGCGGCAACGACTGCAGCACCCGCAGCAGCAGCAGCAACAATGCAACGGCTACTGCCACACGAGCAACAAATGTAGCGGCATCAGACGAAAAGACCCCATGGCTGTCTTCCTCGCTAAAGTATCCTCCATGCTTTACAAGCCGAGGGAACGGCACTTTCTCGGAGAATAAACAGATTGTCTGGTTGCATGAGAAGCCCTATTTTGTGCCTTGTTTATTGTCCCTGCGACACAGAAGCGACTGCTTGGGGATTATTTTGGGATAACTGCTTCACCCTGCATTTATTTGGCGGAGAACAAACTGCGAAACGCCGAAAAAAATGCAGAAGGCAATGCATTCCAACTGCGGCCCATGCCTTCTCTGTTCTGTTGGACAGACCGCACGGAAGAGGCCCTCTGCAATCTCTGGTTGGCCCTTTCTCTCAACCGCTCAAAGACCGTGTATTCCCCCGGCTTCAGGCTCTGTGGAACAGAGTGTATGGATGCCTTAATAGCGGGGGGTACAACTCCCACATTCCTGGGCGGGAAGCTGGAGCGGCTGCATGCAGACGTCATACCCCTCTGGAGAGGGTTATGTTGCATTCCTCCATTCCTGAGCTGTCTCCCGCCATGTTCGCTGTCATCCGAGCTGCTACTACTACTACTGCTGCTGCTGCTGCTGAAGGTGCGGCCCATTACTGCTTGTATGTTCTGACCCCTGAGTTGTCCCATTCCTGTCTTTGAAGGTGCGCTGCTGCTCTTCCTCAAGGACTTCTCGGTCTCTGTGTTTGGTGCATCGCTTGATGGGACTATATAAGCAACAACTGCAGTTATGTCATCAGGTTTACCGCCCACAAGCCGACGCCCCACTTCGTCGAAGGCAGCCTTCGAGAAAGGCGTCACAACAGGCCAGGAGACACCTGGGGGTGGCTGCCCCGCGTTCACTGCTCTCTGAACAGTACAAAAGCAGGAAGGAAAGCAGCGGAAGCAGTGGAGACAGTCCCGCAAGATGCACCTGCTGCAACAGCTGCACTAGCGGCGGCGGCAACAGTGGCTGAACGGTCACCAGCAATACAAGCAGCAGCAGCAGCAGTGGCAGGTACGCAGTGGTACTTGCTCAACAGTAGCAGCAGCATGCGCAAGGAGGTGTTGTTTTTTTTTAGGAGCGTCCGGTGGACATGCCACAATAAGAAGACACTTTCGGGGTGGAGTCTAGGGGTCCATCTAATCCCCCCGGATAGCAGCGATTTGAGACGCTTGCGAGGTGTGGAGTGAGCGAACGCCAGGACCCATGGTAGACAGAGAAGGCCGGAAAACTATGAGCCAAAGTTAGCAGTGTCGGGTATACTCACCTCTAGCAGAGCGTCAACGAGAACTGCGGGGCTGCATTTTGGGGGCGTTCCGTTTCGGGTGTCTGCCCAGCATAGTTTGTTGACGAGTTCCAGGACATCATCGTCAAAGAGATTATCGAAAAGGCCGTCTGTTCCGAGTACGACAATGTCTCCAGGGAGCACTGAGACCGACCCAACGTCGGCTGTCTGTGCCGTCTTCCTGAGGATTGCCTCCCCCGAACAGTCGGTGTCCGGCATGCGAGCGAACTGAAAGGGGCAGTTAAAGAAGTGCTGCTGAGACACCGTTCTGTAGACCACCTGGTAGCCCCCGTAATCCTCCGGGTTCGGGACCCGGCCCCGACTGTCGTGGCAGGTCGTGTATGAAAATTCATGAGCTGCAGGGTACGCCTTGGGAGGAGTGTCAGTGCGTCGCAGCACCAGCAGTTGTGAGTCCCCAATGCTGACCGACCACAGCCTGCAGTCGTCTAGCAACGCCAGCACGCAGGTGGTGGAGCCGAAACTCTTGCACTGTACAGTCGCCTTGGTCAGGATGTACAGCGGCACCTTTGGGGTGTCGACGTCTACATCGCACGCATGCAAACTCTCCTCGGCCTCTGCATCAAAGACAACTGAGTTCAGAGAACGCGCACGGCTCTCCTTCAAACACAAATCCAACAACTCTGCAGGCAACTCGGAAGGGTCCAGACCTTCGTCTTCCACGGTGCTGACTCCATCCGCTATGCCAATGACCTGCAGCAAAGCGCATCGGCACATGCATACCAAAACCTTAGGATGATTCTTTCACTAAGCATGGGGAAAGATGAGCATAAGAGGAAAATACTCCGCGTGATGCTCTGCTCAGCACCAAAAAGTCAACACGACTGTCGGCAGAAACAGAAACACAATGAGAGCAGCACACTGGAATGGGGACCCACATTTTGGTCCGTTGCGAAGGCGTCGGCGTTAGTGCTCTTCAAAGCAGCCTTCTGAGGATGCTGGATTGACCTTCCGGCAACCGCAAACTGCAGGGGCTGACGTGGTGGCGTCTCCCGCATCACGAAGCTGTCGGCCTCCCGGCCCTCCCCGCACTCGCATGTGCAGCAGCTCATTGCCACTCAGCTGCAATTGGATATGTGAGGTAATCTCAAAAGAGCGAGCAAATTCAATAGGGGACGATGGGAGAATAAGCGAACAACACCGAGGAGCTCAGCCACCACCCATACCACGTAGACGCCAAGCGCTGGCGCCACACCCAGGCTGCTTTTCAGAGAACAGCCTTTGGTATGCGTGGGGTGCACGTAGACCTGAGCGAAAAGTATGGCCTGATAAAAGACAAATAAGGCACTGCCTCGTCGGCCGCCTCTTGTTCCATGCCGCGTCGAGGATGTGAGTTACAAACTCAATCTACATATAACTGAAGACATTACTTTAAATGAATGCATGAGGGGAGTGGAAACGTGGAAGCGTGGTATTTGGCAAGCCATGCAGGATCTCCCCTTGATGTTGGCAGCTGCCGCGCTGCGACGGTGAAGACGGCGTGTCGAGTGTCACTTGTGCGCATGCTACAAGCAATTAAACATTTTCCCCCAAAACCATGTACTTCAAATTCATAATTTTCCCTAGCTCGCTGTCTTTGGTCGGACCGCCCAGCCCCATCACTGCGGTCTTCATACACCCCTCGGACTGCCGGCGCAGCCGCTGGACAGAAAGCACTGCCTGCTTCAAAGGGGGGATCCCGGGCGTCAAAAGGCAAGGAAGTTCACGTGCATCTTTCCCTTAAATACTCTATCTTCAACGTTTTAGCTGAGCACCTCATTCATTAACTTCATAGAGCCAACTTTCACGCTTCACACCGCAGACCTCTCCACTGGTCACGGTGTGTTCGGCATGCAACACTTGGCTGGGTCTGTAGACGAGAGTCCTTTGCCTGAGCCACATATGGTAGAAACGGCCCTGCATGAAAAACCGATATATATCTTTTACCAGAGCGAGCCTTGGTAGCTGTAGCGTGAATGCAGCCTGCGGTGGCCAGGGTGTGGTCGGCCTCGGTTGACCGGCGCCTGGTCATCAGTGCCGAGGACTTCACTATTTTGTGGGGAGGATCTGATGTTGGTACGTGAATCTCCATTTGCTTGTATATTGGCTGTGTACGGCCAGGGAAACGCCCAGTAGCTGGCTGTTTCGTCAGTGCATGCAGCGAAGCGGGCTTGGCTGTGCTTGTAAATGGGGTTGTCTTGTAGAATAGGTTGCAACGTGAAGTGCCGCACCTCGTGTCAGTCCTCATCATATCTCCCGTCCTCAGGCCCCTAGACCGCATGGCCGAGGCTGCGTACGGACTCAAGGAGAGGTCAGCTGACTTTTCGAAACACTTATCTCCAGTATTTTGACACTATTGCAGGTAGTGACAGTCTTCGCCTAAGATCGAGGACTCTCGTTACATTTTGTAGCACAGCACGTTCCATCGGAGAAGCTGCGCTGAAGGCAGGGCGGCTTGGTGCTTATTAGCGAAGGCGGTTTGGAACAAACGTAAGCAATATGACCTCTACACACTTTTTCGAAGGTTTTTCACAAAGTCGTCCTGACTCTCACCTCGCATAATGCGGATCGATCAGGATCTGCCGCCCAGTGGAGAGGCGATGAAGGGCTGGGAGACTGATTATGATCAGCTCACAGAGGGGTGGACCGTGAACGGTCTGGGGCCTCACCAAGCAGAATCCAGCTCAATCTCGGCATCCAATTCGGAGGGATGTGCATTCATGCGAACACCACTTTAGGGGGAATGCCTCAGACTGTGCCGTCATGCGCGATATGATGTGCGCTGGGATGCAGAGGCCGTAGAGGAGTTCCTTAGTTCCGTAGAGTTATACCTTCGCCTAGAAAGTGCCCCAGAAGAATCCCAATTACTTTTGGCCTCATCCTTATTAGAAGGGGATGCTCGGCGATGGTGGCTACACTTAAGCAAATGCTCTACATTCCTGGAGCACGTCAGTTCCATGCAAGTGTTCCGGGATGCGCTAAGTTGCACGTTTATCCCGAGGTCTGTAAGGGAGCAGGCAATGGCGGAACTAAGAAAATGTAAGCACTGGGAGCTGCCGATAGGGCGTTACATTGATAAATACAAGTCCTTGGTGAACCGAA